CCCACCCTAACCCCTTTAACTAAGCGGCCTGGTTTTGCCCACCCTAACCCTTCTCCCTGCACATGCCCTGCAGTGTGGCTGCTCCCGTCTGCAGTGCGAGCTTTTGCAAACCAGCGCCACTCACTTTTGCAGTTCCAGCTGGGTCTTCAGCTTTTTCTTGGCCCCCTGTGTGAGGTCATACTTGTTGAGGTCCTCCTCGGTGAGCGCCAAGAACTGGCAGGAAGACAGAGACAGTGGAGGCAGTTCAGCCACGTAGCTTAAGATGATGCTGTGCTCATAAGTGAGGCAACTGGAACCTCGAATTACTACATTGTCTAAAATCTCACACCCAAGCTCCTCCCACCAGCTTATAATTGGCTACCTCTACTGTCTTTTAACTCCTCCCACTCAATCTTCCCCCATAATTTCTCCATCCATAATTTTAATCCCCCAAGCCTTTGCACACCATACCTAAGCCCCACCCACCTTCTCCATGGTGAGCTGCTTGAACACAGGATAGTACTTGTGCAGACGCAGTTTGCGTAGCCAGTCCAGGATCCCATTCTGCTCCGAGTTGGGCTGGGCCTGGAGGGTGGGGTTGGAGGCCGGATTTACTGAGGCCAGGCAATCCCCAGTGGGCCCCCCGCCGGAGGGCAGCCGGGGGGCCACTCCAGGAGATGGGAAGTGAGTGGCTGAGTGGGGCTGCAGGGAGCAGTGAGAACTGATGACGGGCTGGATGCTGGCCACTCCGCAGACCGGCCTATTAGGAGGGATCATGGGGGAAGAGAGAAGAGGATCAGCTCGTCCTTTTCACACAGACAGATGCAGATGTAGATGGACCACCAAGGACAAAGCAGACAGTGCTGACACTTTAAACCTGCTACACACAGAGGACATGCTGAAGTTCCTCACATCTAAGTAGATCATAACCAGCTGGAATGCCTGACTTTCTCCCCCCCCCGCCCCCCGAACTCTAAAGTGGTACAGTCCAGCCGTGAGCAGCAGTGCTAACCACATGATAACCAGTGGCATGCTGACAGCTCTCCGGCACCACTGTACGCATTGTCATTTCCTAGTGACAACCACCAAAGCTTGGAACGTCACGCCTTCCCATTACTACAGGGGCAAAGTATGTGTCCAGTATAAACGTGTGTGTGAATCACAAAATGTCAGATGGTGCAACCAAAAAATGATTACAAATAAACAAAAGTAACAATTTAAGTGTCCACAATGCATTCAACACTGTTAATTCATGTCCTCGTGTGGGTGAGGACCATGACTCACCTGGGCAAACTACTGGCTCCTCTGTATTGCAGTGAACAGCCAAAATCTGAGTGGGTGGGAAGAGAAAAGTGCTTTAGAAAGAAAAAACACTCCCACCGTTGAGTGGCATAATCACACACATTATTAAGCTGCACACGCTCGCACACTGGGCTTTGAGCTTCATCCCATTGTGAGATCACAGTCACACAATTCTGAACTCCGACTGGAGGACAATTACAGCCCACTGACCAAAACATAACGCACACACAAACCACTGTCGGCTGCCTTACTCGTGTTGGGAGGGATCTGAGGACCCTGGGCAGGGCTGAAGAACTGCCTGACCTGCTCGTGCATCAGCAGGTGTGGTGGCAGCTTAGCCAGGCACCTTGAGAGAGAATGCAAATGGCTGAGAGCTGCCATCGCTCACAGCATCGCCACCTATCTGCAGGAGGACCAAGGTACTGGCACCTCACCTGGGATCTGGCTGGTGTGGGGGATCCAGGGGAGACAAGGACAAGTATTTCTCAAGCCCATCATCTGGGAAGAGCTGGCTTATCTGAGAGGCACAACACAACAGGTGTTTGTAGCCAGGAGCAGACTGGCAGCGTGCAAAATACAGCATCTACAGACACAAAGACAGCTAAATGGGACTATATATCCCAATCACACTGTCAAAATGATCTATTGTGCTTTAATATCATTCAAAACAAAAGAAAAGAGGGAAAAGACAAAATTTATAACAAATACCTTTGACAAACAAAAGTAGCAATTTATTTTTAAACCCTCAGACTGAGGGTTTAAAAATGTGAATTTAAAAAAGTTTTGAAAATGGTTGAGTTAATACTAAATTAGCATACTAACCATTCTACCTAGAAACAACATTTGGCATGTGTCTGCTTAATTAACTAATTCAGTCACATTTATACAGCAACCCTCCCCAAAGCTGCTGCCCCAAACATATAAGCTTCAGGATGCCGCACTGTGACTTCTCTTTGTATCACTTAAATCCCAGGAATCTAACCATTAAACAATTAAACTTGTCGTTAATCGTAAAAAAATTGTGCCCAGATATATTTTAAACTACGTACTGAAGTCCTCCGTCAGCAAGGGGGCGCCAAAGCCTTCTTAACACAATGCAACAATCATCTCGGTCAATCATTCTACAACAAATATTTAGTTGTCTTCAAGTGGTGTTTATGTCAGCTGACTAGACTCGTGCCACATGTCTATGACAAGGCGGCAAAATACTCAATCACCGTCAACTGCCTGGCAGGGATCCCCACGAGGGCCCGGAGCAGATGCACTGCTCTCCGCAAATCAATCCCCAAATGCTTGACTATTCACAAGCCTGTAATGACTGCAAACAGCAAGCACATGGATGCTGTAGGGAGTACACTGAGGAAAGATGCCCAAATGCAGCTTTGACAAGACAATCACACAAAGAAGACTCAGCTAATGACAGAAAAGATAATCACCCGTGAGCCAGGTCATGCTAACTCGTGCATCATTTTCTGTATTCAACCTTCTCATAAAAAGATATTTCCAGTCTCTTGGGATTTCTCAGGTCTGTTGAGCAATTTCGTGGTCATTCCTGCAAAGACTATGCCTAGGCCTGATTCTTTGTTCGATTTTGAATCCTTCTGGACTTTTCTATTTTATAAACATAAGCGAGGGGAAGCCTGACTTATCAGGTGCCACATGGGTGGGGGAGGGGTGGCGGGGGCTCTCAGCCATGTCTGCTCCTAATTGATTAATGTAATTCTTCAGCAGTGACTAACTTCAACCTGAAGACTAGGTGAAAACTGGCGCTTTACCATGAGATAAACATCCGTCTGAAATCTAAAGTTCTAAAGCAGCGGAGGACAGCAACTTCATAATCCTGTATTAACATGTGACAACTAATTTTACAATCCTTAAGGGGATATATGACCATTTTGTCATTAAAATATTGATAAATTATTACATCAAAGAGTGGTTGAATGTTAAGATAGACCATGGAAAAGTTGTATGTGCGATTAATGTATATATGAAATGTTAATGGTTAAGTACATTTCGGTCAACATGTAAAAATATATCCGTTTTGTTAGCTCCTAATAACAGTTATGTTCTGACTGACAGCTGACACCAATAATGAATTTAAAGCAATTTAAAGTCCTGTGAAATCCTTATGTATCCTGTGGTTACACTGACCTGTTGGTAAGCTCACTACACTGTGTTAATGAGACTCACACAGACGTGCATGTCGTCATCCTCCATCTTGGACCTCACCTTGGACAGAAACTCCATCGCATCCTGAGAAGTCCGGGAGACAACAGATATCGTGGAGTCTGACCACAGCACCTTCAAGACAGGAAGTGACCTTTCACATCGGGGGGCACAGACCCAGCTCCTGTGTCCTGCATTACCGCCTATCATCACTGCAGCTGGGGGGGCTCTGGACCGCCGCTAAAAAGGGCAGCTAGCAGACGGCTGTCAAGTCTCAATTAGCATTAATCGGTTTGCTGCGTAACAGACAGCATAGATGGAGCTACAGAAGAGCTACAGAAACCACACAAAGCAAAAGGTGTGGCTCTGCTTGAGAGGAAGAGACGGATGGAGGTACCCAGAGATGCTGGACCACTGCTGACCTTGGAGGATTAACAGCACAGACTGCAACCTTAAAAAAACAGCAACAGGCAGCCCCTTCACCAGGGAGAGAGCCGGCAGGCAAACAAACATTTGAAGCGCTCCATCCTCTCTGAGCCCAGGAGAGCTGTACGATAATCGATGTGGCACTTCCTGAGCACTGCAGAGCGGGGCACAGACACCACAAGTAACAGAAAGGGAGACGTGACCCCAGCACCCTCCGGGGTGTCAGGGCGTCTTCCCCGCGCTGGCCGGCTGCCCCATGCTCTCACCTCGAAGGTGTACTCGCCCACCTTCTCCGCCTTCTGAGTCAGGCTCTTCAGCTCAATCCTCTCGATGTTTGCTGGAAGACGGAAGAGCATCTCATTAGCACCTCATGTCTGAATGGGGGGGGTCATGGGCGGGCATTACGCTCCTGCTTAATCCCAAAGCCCCAGGGAGGCTCTGGGGACACGCGGTGGGTGGCAGGAGGAGTCAAGGGGAGCGGGGGTGAGGTACGGGGGCAACACCTAAAAACAGGAAATGAGCAGCACACACACGCACAGACTCACACAGACTCACACAGACATACACAGACTCACAGACACACACAGACATGGCCTCCTTTCCTGCTGACCGGTGCTGAATGAACATGCTCCACATGAGGAATGAGCAGATACAGAGAACTGCCCCCCCCCCCCGAAAGCCTCTCAGACAAGTGTGAACACATCTGGAATGTGCTGGAGTGTCATTGCAGCTCCCCAGGGCCCCGCATCCACGCCCCCACCCCCCACCCTGCGCAGTCCCTATTTTGCTCACTTTTAAATGCTCCCTCCATTAAAACAGCAAACACATTATAAACAGAATCCCCCCTCCCTGAGTTAACGCAGAGGAACAGCTGGGGTAGGGCGTGGTCAGAGCGCAGTGGGGGGCAGGCGATCTGCTGACAGAGGGCACTGCCACGCTGACCCCAGTGCATCGCCAGGCATGTGCACAAACACCTGTGGTATCCCAGCCGCTCTGCACCCCCCCTGGTGTCAAGCTGACTAAGGCTGCCTATTTTTAGGCCCGGCATGCAAGGCAGAATGTCCCCCCCCAACCCAAGCCAAGAGCGGTCCGTCTGCATGGCCCCACACGATCTGCCCGGGCCTGAGCACATTCCACAGGTGTCTGCCCTCCCCCCTCCCAGCACCCCCTAACTCCCACAATGCACCACGCCAAGCCTTTCAGCCAGTTAGAGAGAGGCGGTCCCACACCGGCGTCCTTGGTCAGGGTGACCCAGGATCAAGCAGGTCATGTGTGAATGGCATGTGCAGGAAGGAGACCCAAGAGCAGCGCGAATGCGCCGCAGAGGATGCTGGGAAGTCGGCATGTTTCACAAGTGCCCGCTCTGTCCCCTTGGGCCAAGCCCCCTGTCCCACATCCTGCACCCCTGGGATCACAGACATGCTGGGAATTCCCTGTGTGGAGTAACTGCCGCCCCCCCCCCCTCCCTCCCCAACCCGCCCTCCCGCTCATCATCGTGGAAAATCCGGAACGTGCTATGAGTGTGACCATGGCATGGGGCAGGGCGACCCGGTCCGCCAGCACGCAGAGCCATTGTGACCATGACCGACACAGCACCGTGGCTTGCTCGAGTTCCCGCCGTGTTTCACTAGATTTACTGATTTGCATGGAGCGTGTAGGTTGTCATGGGAACACCCTCTTTACACGGCACAGATGGAATCCTGTGAAGCTTACACCCCAGCTGGCAATCCCCGGAATCCAGCCAGCCAATCAGAGCCGTGGCCGGAAGCAGGAGTGCATCCCATTGGCCGCTAAGACAGAACATGCACCGGTGGGGCCGGTGCTGCCTGCCACAGACGCCCATCAGCTAACTACCAGGACAACTGATACATGCACATATAAGGTATTAAATGCAAGCATTAAAACATGAGCGAGATCCTCCTCACCTGAACAAACAGGCTGTAAGCACAGCGGCAGGCCGCACGGCGGCAGGCCGCACAGCAGCAGGCCGCAGAGCGGGGCGCCCCCTCCGGGAGCCGGGGAAAGCTGAGCTCCTCACACTTAACCTGTGCTTCTTCGTTACACAGGCAGCATTTAAGGCACGGCCTGAGTGAGCAGACTGGGGGCCGCTCCGAGGCACAGGCATTCACCACAGCCCACCCCGGCACGACCGAACACCCGCACCTATCAGCGGGGGAAGCCTTTGCGGAGGGTGCTGGTATCGGATCTGCCCTACAGAGCCGGGCAGGTACAGCGAAACCGGGGCCGCTGGCGTGGGGCAGCGAGGCGCAGTGTGGCCGGGGGCTCAGCAGCGGCATGCACCGAGAGCGGGCAGTCCGCCAGGCGGTGAGGTAATGCAACCAAGCGAGAGCCGGCCAGGCGGGGGGGCCTCCCAGCAGTCAGCGCCTGCCCCGTGCCCCAGGAGACTGGGCTTCACATTGCATGGCCGCGGCTGATGGACCGTAACCCCCCCGAAACAGGCTTAGGGCCACCTGAACATATCTGAATTAGCAATCCTGTCTGAACCCCTGCTGGACTGAAGCTGGTGCAAACCTCAAGCTGGTTGTATACTTCAAACGACGGTTAGAAAAAACACAAACAAACACGTTGGCAAGAACAATATATTGCATATGTAAACGCAAACAAACGTATTGTGGCGAGTGCGTGAGTCATTTTAATGAAGGAGATGACAGCTCTTATAAAATGGAAGTTTCGCTCTTTATTAATACTAGCAGGGGCAGGCAGCAATTTACACAGCAGGGTTACACGCTAAGGAAACACACGCATTCCACGGCAAACATTACACGCTTACGATATTTACCAGAAACACAAATACACCAGGACACATATTAAATTAATTTACAGATACACACGGTGCTGCCTGCAACTGCATAAATAGTCCAGCTGACCGCGTCGCAAGGATGCGGTGCAGTCGTACAGAGTGGAGCGTCTTAGTGAATTCTGACCCTGACCTTTAACCCCTGTACCAGAGGAGCTGCACCAAGAGGAAAGGGCCAATCGAGGGCAGTGAGAGGGACCACAAGAAACGAAAAAGTCGTGGATCACTGCAGTGCTGAAAGACTCATACATTCTCATATTGCCAAAATGAAGAAAAATCCCATCTATTTCGTCCATATGTGGCCACCTTCAAGACCTTCAGTATGCATCATCACGCCTGCCCCATCCCTGCTGCCACATCCCACACTGCTGCCCCATCCCTGCTGCCCCATCCCACACTGCTGCCCCATCCCTGCTGCCACATCCCACACTGCTGCCACATCCCACACTGCTGCCCCATCCCTGCTGCCACATCCCACACTGCTGCCCTGCCTCCAGCCCCACCCTGCTGCCACACCCCACACAGAGAGAATGAGGAGAAGCTTCTTCCCTCGAGCTATTCAGTGTATGAACCAGGACAATAACCAGGATGTGAGAGAGTGACAGCGATGGAGTGACATCATCAACCCTTCACTCTTCCCCCCTCCAATGCATAACACTGTGGGCTATATGTATTATATTATATTGCATTACATCAGGGGTGCCCAACTCCAGTCCTGGGGGGCCAGAGCCCTGTGTAGCTTAGTTCTTTCCCGGTTCCATCACAAGCAATTCAGCTCAACAGCTGTGTGGTAATTAGCACAAGGAGTTGAATCAGGTGTGTAAATTAGGGGAAACCCAAAAATGTGCAGGACTCTGGCCCCCCAGGACTGGAGTTGGGCAGCCCTGTATTACATTATACCATATTATGCATTCCACACTTCTACTTCTATGCCATCCCATCGTAAACTCCATGTTCAATGTTATTCTAGAGTGCAATATATGTACATAGCAGAGATATATTTTGTACATCCCTGTATATAGTATAGGTACTACTATATCTAATCTCCTTCATTTCTTTTTATAGTTTTAAAGTGTTTCATTTACATTTCCTTGGAGCAGCAGCAATAAGCATTTCACTGCAGGTTGTACTATGTATGATGATGCATGTGACAAATAAAATTTGAATTTGAACACTGTTGCCCCACCCTGCCACTAGCTCCGCCCCACCATGATGTCACACCCCACCATACTGTCCCACCCTGCTGCCCCGCCCCCCACTGACGCCCTGCCACGAGCCTGTCCCTGCCCCGCCTCGCTCCCCCACCCCAAGCCCCACCCTGCCTCATTCTGTCCACACATCCAAAACCCTCCACAGACAGGTAACAGAACGCTACAGGACTGGGGAGGGCCGGTCCTGGCCGGCCCCTCCCATGTGATGCCCCACCCCTGCAGATTCGCATGATCCTATTAAGCGATAAAAATAAATAAATGCTTCTTGGCAGGCATTGGCTTTTCAGCCTGAACTCATCCCCTCCCCCCCAGACAGATTATTATTTTACCACTGCTAGGTGGTGAACCATCAGTCACATTTTTCTTAATGCGGGACGTTCACCCCAGCAGCCCCATGGCGGGGGGGACATTATACTGCCAGCAGGAGAAACAAGAGATTTTTCCCGACCTTATAAAAAAAAGGCACTCGGAAAATTATGCACAGAAGTAACCAACGTGATCCCCCACAGGCCAAGGGGACTTTCCCAGCAGCATTCGAGGCAGAGCAGGGCTGCGCTCAGCCTCACGGATAGTGACATCATGGCCACTCTACCAGCCCAGCACCGTCTGAGTCACCTCTGCAACGCGAGTATAGACAGCCCAGCCAACCAGAAACAGCTACCCTCACTACCGGCTCAACATCTCCCCCCTCCGTGACAAGCTGCAAGGAATGCAAGCCCTTGACGCCTTCCCGGCTCGAACCTCCAAGACAGGCCGACCCACAGAGCCACCGAGTGGAGGTTCTGGCCAAGCGCAAGGTCTGGGGAAACATCTCGTGTTCCTGACGACCTGTCATGTTTGTGTTCTTTGAAAGCATCTCTCTCTGACTCGTGGCTGGATGGCATTGCTCTGCTTCGATCCACCCCGCAGGAAAGCAGACAGACCGTGGCTTTGGCTGCTGATGCCGCTTACCTTTATTGGCCTTCCCCGCGTGGACCTTAATCAGCAGCTCCTGGCCAGACAGCGAGGGAGCCTGTGATTGGGAGTCCAGGCCACTAGCATCGTTTCCGTGCCCTCCCCTTTCCTCTCGGTGCAGTGCCTGTGGTACAGGGGTCAAAGGTTGGGGTCAGCATTCACTAAAGCACTCCACTCCGCACGGCTTTACACATCCGTGCGGCAGCGAAACCCGACTCTGCAGGTGACATCATGCCACTAGAATGAGCAAAAGATTGTAAAGTTGTCAACTAACGAAACACAAGGACTCATCATGTGGCTCGCTGACTCAGTAGGCCAGCGCATGAGCCCGTCTGCAAAAGGGCAACCTTGCAGTGATCAACCCAAAATGGAGAGACCTGACCAGAGTCACTCCGGTGAAAACATTCAGCTGTAAAAACCAGCCGCTGCTGAACCACAAACTCTGGAGCGTACAGCTGGATGTTTCTCCGACGTGTACCCAACAGATGGAAAGCCAGTGACCAGCCTCTGAAGCCCTGCCCCTCCTGCAGACCCTTGTTTCCACTCCCCGGAAGGAATGATGCAAACCTCTTCACATCCAAGTCACCGACTAATCAGCAACATTTTGTGCCTCTAACATATTTTAAACACCGAAGGAAATGATCAGTCATGGCTACAGTGGCCAGAACTCTTCAGGGACGGTAAAGACCTCCCTGCCCCTCCCTCCCATCGAGAAGGAGCACACGCCATGGCTCCTCCTCCACGCCTCCTGGTCCAGCAGCTCTGCTGACTAGAACCGCACAGCCAAGCCCATGTGGCTGCAGCCGCTGCCATCTCCGCCACTGCAGCCCACGCAAAAGCCTGCCAAAGCAGCTCTGGAAAAAAAGACGCAACCGTTGGGGGAAAGCTGCGGCGAGGGGGGGGTTCTGCCCAGAGTCCTGTCAGTGAGTAAGCACAGCCGATCACCCCCACCCTCCCCATAATGGTTAGTCGCCTTCCTTTATTTGAGCTGGGCTTCTCCTGCCACTCAGAGTACAGGATAAGCATCTGGCAAAGCGCTGTCACTTGTCAGGCTTTGGGCGGAGCCTAAAGCCCCACCCCCCCATGACCAAAGGGGGAGGAGCTTGTGGTACGGCACAGCCGTGCTCAAATGGAGCGAAGCAGTGGCCTCGGCAGTGGGCGAGCAGTTTGGGCTTCCTGATGACTCACATGAGTCTCACACGGTTTATTTCAGCATAAAGAAATGTGCTGAGCAGCACTCAACAGAGGCCAAGACTAACAAAAAAAGCAAAAAAATGCCCCATTTCCTGCAGTCCTGGGTATTTTTTCCTCCACAGAGATGTATTTACACAGTCGGGCTCTCTGTGCCCTTAATTGAACACAGAGACGCGGAGCCTGTCTCCAGCTGGGCACAGAGAAAAATGGGCTCCTTGTGCCGCCTGGAGGATGTGAGCCTTTTAGGGTGCCCGTGTGGATGACGACGTGGTCACATGACCTCTGACACATGCCAACTTCAGAGCCAGAAACATGCATTACCTCCCGAGCCCAAATGTAAGCTGCTGTCCATGGGGGGCGCTCTCCAGCAAGCCACGTCCGTCACCAGCGGGTTACGGAAAGTTTCTGCTCGGGACCCCAGATGAGAGACTCCCACGACCCGCCGTATACCTCTGCTATCCGTCACGCCACCTAAGCAGTTAAGCTCTCAGCTGAATTAATTATTTCCCTAAATAAACCAATTTGGCCTCATCTGTCAGGGCTAAGGTTGTTCTGGGCAGACAGCCGGAAAATGAGGGCCGGGATTCAGCGCCTGACGCCGAATCGCCGCTTTCTTCCCCGCGCTCTGGCAAGATCCTTTTCTTACCGGCTGGCAATCTGGCGCCGGCCTTCCATCCGGCAACTTCCAGCTGGACAAAGGCAAAGGGTGGGCCATGGCTCGGGGGGGGGGGTTATCGAAGCCGCCAGGATGCGGTCCAGCTAGGGCGGCAATGCAGCCCTCGACCCAGAGAGACATTGTGGGGGCAGTCGAGACGACGGGCCGGTAAGGGAGGGTTTACTCGGTAACACAACGCATGCTGCTCTCCTGCCAGGCTTACAGGCTCAGCATTTTAGGGGACGGGGCTTTTAGCCAAAGCAGCACAGACCATCATCCTTTAACAGCTTACCTGTGTATGACTTCTACACAAATAACTCAGGGCCAGTGTTCTATCAGGCATAAAACACACACTCCCACCCCCACCACCTGCATAAGTCAAACTTCACACCTGTAGCCACTGAAAACCACCGGCAAATCGACGCTAAGCCGTCAGTTACAGTTTAACACATTTTATCGCAACAGTTCCAACACAGAGATAAGCTGCAATGGTACCAACCTTGTGCGAACAGGGGAATCCAGCGGGGCAGGAGTTGAGGGTGGCATTGGTGATGTAGGTGGTGATGGTGTTGGCTGTGGGCAAGGCGGCGAGCGCACTGGTCCCTCCGCTCGCATGATGACCACCACAGGCCGCCTGCACGATGCTCTGGATCTGCGTCAGCTCCTGCCTGAGGACCTGCTTCTGGTGAAAGCTGAAGGCGGGATGGTTGGAGGCCATGGTGAAGAGCAGGAGGAACTGGTCCCCCGTCTGGCCGTCGTTGAGCTGCAGCCCGTAGTTGTTGATCACGGAGTCGATGTGGGTGAGCGTCCTGAAAAGCACTCCTGCTGCTTCCCTGTTGTCCGAGTTCAGCAGGGCCAGGGAGATGAGCAGCTTGCTGCGGACCACCTCATCCGTGATGTTGGTCAAATTCGCTAGGTCAGCTGGGTTGTTGGCCTTGATCTCGGCGTCCCTGAGGGAGTGGTAGTCTTTCCGGGCCAGGTCCTCCAAGCAGGACCCAAGAAAGCGCAGCTCGATGGGAATGCAGAGGTCAAGGAGCCCACAGAGAAACTCAGCCCTCTTAGAAGAGTTCAGCTGGGAGAACCAGCGGTAAACTCCCTCTCGCTGAAGCAAACACCTCTTTTCAACCATCTTCCAGACAAAGTTAAAACAACGTCGTATACTGATATAAGGTCATTACCAGTTATAAGTGTTCTTGTGCAGTGAAACCGTCAGCAGCACAAAGGCGCGTTACTTGCATAGCTGGATCGCCGTCTTTAAACAGAGTAGTCCATACTGTCTTTTGCAGAGAATACGTGTATAAAACTGGGCAATGGGGGTTTGTAAAAAGTTGTGAACTTTATCACGTGATCCACTCCCGTTAGATAAATCACTTTTTTTTACAGTAATCGATCACGTTTAGAAAACAAACAACTTCTTTGCGACGAAAAGATCTGTTTTCTGCCTGAACGGAAATCCATAATTGTTTTGTATTATTTTTTATCCCTTCACGTCCCTCTGTAAAAGAATAAGCTTATAAGACAGCGTGTGTCGGTCTGTTTACTGTACTCCGGGGCATGGCGCAGACCGTTCAGTCATCTCTCCTCCCTCGGTTACTTCTCGGGCTCACCACGTCATTCCCTTATGGAAAGGGACGGTACGAGCTGGAAAAACACACAGGGAAAACACACGCACAAACACACCGTCTCAGCGTGGCAAGAAAACGCAGGACCCACCTCCAGGTTTTCATCGGCGCAAAAGCAAAATCCATCCCCTGCAAACAGTTTCACTTCATGCATTTCCCATTCTCGGTCCAGGACCTCCGGGTCCCGAATTGTTAGGGAGCGTCGGCCAAAAACACAGGATCACATACAAACTCCACAAACTCCAGCTTTCCTATCAACGCAAGAAGGGGATCTCTTTTTGTTTAATCACATAGCCCTTACAAAGCTGACCCACCGCATTCGTCCAAAAGAACAGGGAAATAAGTTTCCAGTCGTTCCCCTCCGAAGGGGTAGAACGGCTCAGGAAAAAATAAAGTAATATGATTTCCTCTCTCCCTCTTCAAATCATACCCTTCCTTTGAAATGGATCAAAACAGCTGTCTGGTTTACCGTCCCAAACGCCACACATTAGCCCTGCCCCGCAACCAAATTTACTACTGCGATTGGCTGTGTCGAACGTCAATAATAGCGGGCTTTAGCGCGATTGGCCGAGGTAGACTACATTCCACATATCTCTCACATGCGCTCACGCTTATGTGGATTCTGACAGTGAGGTACAGTATTCACAAGAAAACTCTGCGCCTTCATAAAGATTCATGTCGAATGTGAGCTGCAGTCCGTGTCTGAAAATTAAAACTAACCTGATTCTCCGATATATGTTGGGTTGACACTTCGTTATGAAAGTTTCAACGATAAGAAAATGTAAAGGGCTGGAGCAAAACGTCGACCATTCTTCCCAATGAGAAACTCCATTGAGTTCTGACTTGCTACCCATGTCAGCCGCACTGTCAGTCCTGTCCTCCAAGCGGCTGGGCTATGCACAGCAAAGTTTCCTCTTTGTCCACGCACTTCTGTGCCCAGGCTACGTGGGATAGCCTATCTTACACGGTAAACAAAACTCGTTTGGACTGAAAATATGGCTGTTCTCTTAGAATAGGGTCAACACGGATTTTTTTTCCTGCCTCGACGAAAGCTCATTTATCCCAGCCGATAGCACTAGTAGTAATGCTGGCATGTTTAGCCAAGTTACATTTTAAAATCTCTGATATTAGTGCATATATAATTAATTTGTGCGCGATAAACATTAATTACATTTGCGAGGTTAAAAATGCCAGAAATCTTAACATTAACTAGCATTAACCCTAATGGTTTTCTTGGAAAAACTGTCAAACTCATGTCGGTGGGTAAACTCCAGAAGCATCTCAGCCATTTAGCCGATGGGCCACTTGAGGGCGCTGTTGTCCTGCGACCGGAATAAACCGCAGTGAGAAGCGGGACGCGTAGGTCCCTTTTAAATGCGTGCATCTGTTAGTGGTGTAGATGTGTAATGTATCAATGTTGCATGGACATTTTCAAAAGGGGGTGTAGCAGCTTTCTCTACCATGTAGAACGTTTTCTCAATTTTTCCTTCTTTAATCTGCATCTTGCTAAGATTTAAAGCACATTACTTGTCGTGAGATAGGCAATTTGTAGCGTTTTTATTGTGCTATGCTTCGCAGACACACGAGTATTATTAAGATCTGTTACAACTACAGGTCAGCCAATCTTTTTTTCAGATCGATTATGTGGTTTGGTCGTTCAGGGCAGCTCTGCGCTATACACCTGATACACGCATATCAACATATACCATTACAGAACAAAATATAAGAAATCCCAGAAGCACCGGGTATTATTGCGAGAGAGAACCGCTTTGTTGGTTTTAATGGTCTTCCTTAGTTCCTTTATTTTGTTACCAAAATAAAGAGTGGTTCTTTTGTGTAAAAAAAAATCCCATCCTTGATATTTAAATTCGCTCATGCCTAAGTAATTTCATGTGTGCGTATGTGTATATAATTTTCATGAGTCAGAGCTGCTTGCCCCTTCAGAAACAAGCTCTGTTGATGACAGTAATTCAGTGCCGTTAGACTGCGAGAAACGCCCGAAGACGCAACATAAGCGGCGGCGAAGCTTAACCAGCTGTCTTATATCGAAATCCCTTGAAATAATTTACACTGTAAGTGCGGTTAACACATGCACCGTTTTGAGCTTTAAAGGTGTACTAGAGTTTCGGGGAGCTGTGGAAGTCAGTCCTTGGATCAGGGGTTTCCAACACCTTCCACTGGAAATGAGGAAACTTCCACCGACTGTGTAGCAAGAAGTGTGCGTGGGTTGTGCTCATTTACCGAAATACCCCTGTCAGTTTATCGGCTTAAATCTCCTATCATTCCACCTTGGCACTCTGACGGATCTTATGTCATGTTGAGTCATTATAGATATAAGGAGAAATAAGTTGCAGATTTCTCGATCGATTTACACGATGCGAAGCCATATTGCAGTTTCTTGTATTCCATGATATGCTTATTGTAAGGAGTAGCCTACACGAGTCTGTCTCTTTTTGAGGCAGACTGTGTCTTTGCATATAGGCTAGTAATTATGCCAAATACAGTGGGTTGTATGATTGCTGATATTAAACTGGAAGTCGACAAGAATCATGATTTTAAGGTACAAACAAGATCATTATTTTGATCATATTCATTCACCATATGCATGTAAGTTACCTGTATTAACGGCACGAGTAACTGGCATACTGGTGGGAGCTGTAAATACTATGCGTATAGAGGCACAATTATCTGTAGTTCGTTCATACCTATTATGAGAAAACCGGTCCTTTATTTCTGTTGAGAAGCAAACGGTACAGAACCAGATCTCGAGGAGACAGGCCCATCAGCAATCCCCAGAAGCCCGTCCACGGGGATCCAGGTTGCAGTGGCTCCTGTGTGACCGAAAGGGAGCAGCCCGTGTGTCAGAGCCCTCAGCCGTATCTATTTTTACCCAGGTGTGATCTAATCTGCAGGAACTGACTGGATAAACATGAGAAACCAGGATGGGATCCGACATGGGGTGGAGTCGAATGCCGCCTCCCTGCATTGCTGCCTAGACCCCCAACCACTGTTTCCCCAAACAGAATAAAGCTTCATTTACCCTGATATCTGTCTAGCCTAATTCATTTTGAAACATCACATACACCATTTCATCCATCGTGTATTCTGACAGACGTCAGCAGCCCACTCATACATGGAGAAGCATTTACTAAAGTATAATGTATTTCTACATATAAGCGGAATCTTCCTGTCTCCATTTCATTAAGTACCTGGACAAATAGCGTTTGAGCCAAATTACTGCACTCTTGTGTGGTCTAATTATTTTCCTGTGCACAGCAGAACATGGACAGACTGAAACGAGAGAGAGAAGGAGAAAGGGAGTGAGCAGGGCAATTAAGAAAAGCAATTTTTCCCTCCCAGAGGTACCGGGATAGAGCTGAACGACGCCTGTGCTTACGCAGGCGCTGTCTCTTTAAAACTGGCAGAAGGACGGTGCTGCTTAGGGGGGGGCGGTTGGCTGCGATGAAGCGGTCCCTCTCTAATGAGCAGGTTTGAGAGACATCACAGAGAGAGAGAAAGAGAGAGAGAGAGAGAGACCCCAGCGCAACGAAGGACGGGGGAAACAAGACAGCGGCAACCTGGAACAAGAAAAGACGGAGAGGAAGGGAGACAATTTGAAATTATGACAGTGAAGCTTTTAGGAGAAATCACGAGGAGAATATCATTGGATTTTTCGCCGGTGAGCGGACCGTAGCTTCGACGCTAGACTGCAACAGGAGCCAGGGAAATCACAGAGAGAGAGAGAGAGGGAAAGAGGAGGAGGAGGAGAAGAATAAGAGGAGGAGGAGAATCAAGGGAAAAGGAAAAAGGCAGAATTAGATAAGCCGTTTGTTTCTCTGGGGTGTGCGTGCGCGAGCTGTCTGCCGGCCGGGGTGTGTGTGCGCGTGAGCGCTGCGTGTGCGTGGAGAGAGACCGCATTGGCGTCTCACGGACGGGCTACAGAGAGGAGCCTAGCCGAAGCCACCTGTCTTTCTTTTCTCCGTGCCTCTCTCTCTCTCTCTCCCTCCCTCCCTCCCGGTTTGTGGCGAGCCCGGGTGTCAGGATGGCGCTGGGGAGAAGCCGGGTCGCCCTGGTGCCGAGCGGCGAAGGCACCCGTCCGTGCTGAACGCGCAGTCGGTGGCGGCTGCGTCGCCCACAGGACTCCGGCTCTCTAGGTGGAGTCCGGGTGTTTTTCTCTGCTGGGGGAAAAGGAGGAGAAAACAAAAGGGAAGAAGAATAAGGAGCCAGAGGGAGATTGTCGACTGGGAGGGTGTGGGCGCTGGGAGGGGGCAGAGGTGCGTTGGTGTGAGGAGCGAGGAGGCGCATGGCTGGTGGAGGCCTCCCCCCTTCCCAGAGTCACGGCCGCAGGAGATTCGGCCAGGAGTAGCATCTCCAGAAGGATGGTCTGAAGAAGCTTGCACCACACCAGCCTGGCCTAACAGGAGGGGGGCTTCTCTCTTGTGGGGGCTCTTTTTCCTTTTTTTTTTAAAGAACCACCCAGGAGGATTTGTCTTCAGCGTCTTCCTCCCACCACCCCCCACCCCCCCCCCCCCCCCCCCCCAATCGGCTTTATTTATTAATTTTTTTCTTTTCCTTTTTTTTTTTTTGAAGTTTGGGGGATTTGCCAAAACCTATTTCATGCATGTCCACTGGGGGCAGGTTCAACTTTGATGATGGGGGGTCATACTGCGGCGGGTGGGAAGACGGCAAGGCCCACGGGCACGGCATCTGCACCGGGCCCAAGGGGCAGGGCGAGTACGCCGGTTCCTGGAGCCACGGCTTCGAGGTGGTGGGCGTCTACACCTGGCCCAGTGGAAACACCTACCAGGGCACCTGGGCGCAGGGCAAGCGCCATGGCATTGGGGTGGAGAACAAGGGCAAGTGGGTCTACAAGGGCGAGTGGACACATGGATTTAAGGGACGCTATGGCCTACGTGAGAGCACTGCGAGCAGCGCCAAGTATGAGGGCACCTGGAACAACGGACTGCAGGATGGATACGGCACCGAGACCTACTCTGACGGAGGTAAGAGCAGCACCGTACCCTGAAGCATGTTCCTGCGTCACATGGAACAGAGTCACTGAACCAGAATTTCGATTTGAACCAAAGCTGAAATAAACACGTCTGCTCCTGGCTTGTCTACCACTCCAGCCTTTTTCAAACCCTTTCTCGATCCACCATCGCCAAACCTCCCCCCCCTCCCCATTTCCTCCTAGTCTCTCTCCCTCTGCCGTTTTGGTAAAAGAGCCTCCTCTCTCGATGTTGCAGAGGGAGATGAATTTTCAGGCCCAAATTAAGGCCATCCGGGCTCCGCAGCCGGTGAGAGAAAAATTCCAGGTCATCTGCAGTGGCTGGCGGAGCTCTGGCCAGCTCTGTCAGAACCGGACCAGAATCAGGCCAAAACCGGGCTACGGCTGGTGCCGGTTCAGCTGAAACCAGCTCCGCATGGGGCAAAAAAATCCCAAGCCCAAAATGTCGGGATAAGCTTTTGGACTTCCAGATGTTTTGCTTAGCAAACACTTGTTACCGTCTCGGGCTTATCGCACATTGACATGGCGCTGATGGCAGACAACCCTTACACATCACTTACAGGGCTTCCAGAGTACCCTCCTCATTAACCCAGGAACTTCCCCAAAGAACGCTACACGTCTTCCCCCATAAACATATCATAACCTTTCGTGGATGCATGAGTAGCGGTGTGGTTGTGTAATAATGTGCCGTAGATGTAATGAGGTATTATAGATTTGTAATGCAGTCTTAAGTATGTCTAATAATGATGTAGCTGTTTAAAGAGGTGTTATAGATGTGGAATGATAAATTATGGCTATGTGTATATAAGTGTATAGGTTGTTGCATATATGTGGGAATGATAAATTATGGATATGGATGTGTATTAAGCTGTTGTGGGTAAGTGAAAAGGCATTGTGGATGAGTAATGATATGTCATAGATGTGTAATAATGAGGTACTCTGGTTGTGTAATAGGGATTAACGTGTGGTTGTGGATGTGTAATAAAGTATTGTATATGTGTTAGGGTGTTATTCGTACATGATAGGGTGTTGCTGGGTTTTTATTAGTGTAAGGTGGTGTAAATTTGTGTGGCTTTGTGGACCAAATAAGGTGTCGGTAATGTGTGATGAAGTGACATGGATGTGTAAGTCCGATAAGCAATGTGGTTGGGTGATATGGTGGCGTGGAAGTATAATTAGACAGCATGAATGTTTAATGATACATTAATAAGGTTATAGATGTTCACAAGTGGGTGTGATGGAACGGGGTTGTGGTGTTCAGGCAGTGCAGGTGAGGTGATGTGAACCTGGGGGATGGGAGCCTTGTTTGCTGGATAATAGATAGGAGGAACTAGGGCTCTGCAGCAACTCAGGAGATGCATTTGGATGGACCATTTGTCCAGTGGTACAACGATGGAGTGGGCTGGAGGTGGATCTGTGAGGGACAGAGAGATGCTCCGATTAGTCGTTGTGTCAATGATCATCCCTTTGTTAACTGACACACAGACCTCTATCCATGAATCTCTTCAACAGACTTTTTCCATTATCCGAGCCTCCTAAAGGGACTCCATTGCCAGCTCCTTATGTCATAGGGCCTCCTCCTTTCTTCCCCATCGGAGCCTTAAAATGGAGGAGAAAAGGATCCTTCTGCAGTCTCAGCAGTTATTTAGTGTCAAGTCTGGGCAAGCAGGCATCTCTGCACACTGGGAGAATGTTTCGTGGGTGTCTAAGTATGCGAGTGTGTGTGTGCGTGCGTAGATGTACGTGCTTCCTGCATAGAAGTAGGACTTGTTCTTTAAAGAATGTGGAGAAAATGAAAAGATGGTGCTGGAGACAGCGAGATCAGTATAACAGCACTTCAGTGGGCAACCCATACTCAGTCTCTTATTGCTCAGATGGTGCTGGTTGTTGATCACTAATACTAGAGTATTAGTGACATAACGCAAAGCTCCTGTGGCAAATTTTAGAAATTAATACTGCGGCTTGCGATTTCTTGCCCATCATCATGGTGAAAAAAACAATGTGAGTAAAGGACTCCTCTAGCAATATGGATACCTGGACTACTCGTTTCTACAAGCCTGCTAGATTCTGGGTGGGAGGAAGCTTCCACTGCATTACTGAAAAGGCGCCGCTGTACAGTAAGTTGCCACGGAAACGCATGCAGACACAAGTGGCAGATCTGCGGGCCACTGGGGACCCGGCACTCTGCGTTCTGATTGGCCGGCTGGTCCTGCTAATGGTGTTTACTTACTTGAGCGCTAATCTGGGCTGGCTAATCACAGCCACGGCATACACAGTGATAGAGGGAGAGGGGAGATGGCAAACAGAATGGGAGAAACCGATGGGGAAAAGAGACGGGAGGGGGATTCAGGAAAGAGAGACAAGGAGATACTCAGGGTGTGGGAGCTTCGTAAGCTCTCCGGTTTCCTGGACTGATTTCAGAACCCCGTAAAGCAAAATGGGGTAATCCACCTATACGCCATAATGCAGTATCGAACCAGCAGTGTTGCCAAGCGACCAGTCAGGTGGGGTCAGGTGCACCAAGTGCGGATCAGTCCCTTATTCGCATTAGAGGAATGTCACAGGTCTAAAGAGCTTTGAAATGCACTGAAACAGCACACACCTGCAGCTGAAGAGATCTCAGCACTCATCCTCTTCACTGCATTTCCACTGAGGACCCCAAGTCCAGGGGTAGCCTGGAGAAGCTCACTCACATCACCCCAGCCAGGCAATTGGGAGACACACCAATCAGCCAGTCCACCGTCGATTCATTCCTCCGCAGTTTGTCCAGCACTGAAGTACTAAATGTCAACAGCGTTCCCCTATTTTGACACCACAGTCTCATCAAAACAATGAACCAGTAATAGTGTACCAGGCTGCAGGCAGTATTGGCATTAATAGCAATGGGTCGGATTGGCTTAAGTTTGTTTTTATGTCTCATCCATTTCTTTCATAGTTCAAATACCTTGTTGATTTGATGACAGAGGAACCGGAGTGTAGTGGTGAGGCCCATGTGTGCAGAACAGGGCTGAGCTGACTGGATGGGTGGAGCAGACGTTAGTGGACTGAGTGCCGTGAGGTATTCATTGGCGGAGTAGATGTAGCGAGATCAGGGCTGTGTAAAGTGTGGATCGGCAAAGTAGCTGCTACAGGACCGAGTGTTGTAAAGTGTGAATGGGTGAAACATATATAGCACTCAGTGTTGTCAAATATGAATGTTACAAGCCTCTTAAACTTAAGAATTCCAGCTACGAAAGATCTCTCAGTGCATCTCAAGCTTGTTATGTGCATTAGTATGTAAGTAGGTAAGACTTAGTCATGTGTGGTTACATAACAGCAACATTACAACTCACAAAAATCACGCACTACAGACACTGCTGATGCTCTGGTTAGATAGACAGCAAAGTAAAATTGCATCAGAAAACATTCGTTTAGCTATGTGTGAAATTGTAAAATATATAAATATCACTGGACAGCAGCGTCCTTTAGATTGTAACCAATCTTGCACTATATATACATGTATGAGCGCTCGTGCAAGGCAAATTGATTAACATGGCACATGCTTTGTGATGTAATAAGATTATAGTCCGCGGATTTGTGATTGCTGTGGTGGATTAGCAGAGAACTGAGCACGCGCACTGCATATGATAACCTGAAACAGCAGGTCACGCAAACCCTTTCTGCCGTATAATTTAAAAATCTAAAATTGTTTTTTTAAGCAAATAAAAGGACAACTTACGAGATCAGCCATTTAGAAGACAAATCAACTCATTTAAAATTGAATTTATATAAAGCTATAATTTAGGGGAAGCCTGTCATGTAGATGGCTAGTTCCACTGTTCAGTTTGGTTTTGGAAGTCCATCTTAAAACTTAAATATGCGTATTAACACTTTTTCTACTTTCGTGTAACCTTAAGATTATTTTCATTAAAATCTGTGTGCATGGGTCTCTACGGACCCGCAAGTCTCAGGAGCTTCACTTCACACACTGGTGTGGGTCACGTTCGTGTTATTATGACGTCGCTGCTTTTCATTTGTTTACTTTGCGTCAAGTTCCGCTACTTCACCTCCCTATGTATCACCAAACCCTGCGCCACCCTTCAGCGCCTCCATCTTTTTGTTTACAAAAGTAACATCCTTAAATTCAAACATAGTCTAATAAAATACAGTGCACACAGACACACACACACACAAACTACACTGTGCACCATTACTTCGATATGTAAGTGCACAGCAAGTGCTGACTGTGTGAGAAACGGGTAGAGAGCGGGTTACATTAATAATTAATAGAGGAAGCCATCCAGACACACTTTCTGATTGTTGCGCTGGAGTTTCAGTCTTCTGCTAATGTGAATTTAACCCGCAAGCGCCCATAAACGAATAATAATAGGGTAATAATAATAATAATCCATAAAATTACAGGTATAAAGAATAAAACACGAACGGTACAAACAATTGAATCATTAATTTAAAGGACTTAATAGTTGTAAGAACATTCTACGGGTGGCACATGATTATATCTGATAGCTGTGATACTGCCTCATCGGTTTTATTGTATTTCCGTAGATGGCACCTAAAAGGGTCCCGGTGAAACTGTCTAAAGTTAATTTAAACACAGGTTTAATGTATAGGGAGCGAGAAAACCAGCAACTGAAGAAAACCGACACGAGTGACTAACCCTGTCCGTATCTTTGCGGTGATGCACTGTGAGGACGGATTACATCTATGAAGCAAAATAAACCAAATTTACAAATATAAATCTGTAAAACCGAGGCTACAGGTAAAATAAGTAATTGACATATTGGAAATTAGATTGGCTGCATACCACTGTGAAACCTTAGTCATTTATACTGAATAGAGGGAAATGTGCCATTAAAGTACATTTGCTAAGGTCAGATCAGTTTCGGGAATATCTCATACAGGCGAAATTACTGTTTATCGGATTGCATTTATGTTCCCATTTTCCGATTAGACGCATTCACGACAATTAGGGAAATCAAATTATAAATAATGTAA